ACACACACACACACACACACACACACACACACACACACACACACACAGATTTGTAGACACACACTGATTAGAAAGCTGAGGAACTCGTTTCATCACTTTTAACACATTTTTGGCGACACCTCAGTGGTTTCTAAACGTGTTCACAGTCTGAGTCTTCCATGGAAGTCCTAACCATTTCTTGGGAATATCTCATTACACAAGGTGACTCATCAAAGCAGCATCATTAATGTTCCAAAGGCTGAATCAGTGCAGTAGAATCTTTTTAATTCAGCATAGGAGTAGGTCTTCAGCTCTTTCAAAATGACCTACTTCATAGAAATGATGGATGCTAATGGTTTTTATAGCAAACTGAACAATGGACCGAGAAGTTAGAGAGAAGGAAAAGGCACTTACATCTAGGAGTGTATATACGAAGGTGACCGACTTTGACTAGCACCTTTATCCTTGGTGCTCTGCTCAGCTTTAACGCTACCTGTATTAGAATAGCTACCTCATTTTCAATGGACAGATCAGACAGCTTTATTCACATAACATCACAGGTAATCAGAAAGTCATCAGTGTACATGAATTACCTCTTTGCAAAAAACTTCAAAGCATCCACAGTGTCTCCACCACTCTGCACGTCTCCATTGTTGTGGAGCTCAGCCATGTTCCTGCAGGCAAATGATCAGAGCACATTTAAACAAGATCCATCTGGTGAAGGTGGAAACCCCCCCCCCCCGGACATAAAAACAACTCTTCCAGTTCCTGGTATTCAGTCTCTTGCACTTTGTCGAAGCATGTTCAGGGTTCATCAAAACACTTTCAGTGCAGTTTTAAAACAAACCTTTTACTTTAGTTGTTACACACTCATTATGTGTATTGTTCTGTGATGAACACTGACAACGTGAGCCCGGCTGATACTGGATTTTTGAGGCCGCTACAGATATCAGTAATAAAAACTGATTATGATGAATTATCGGCCATAGTAAAAAAGATTTTAATATATTGAACCCGTTACAGAAACAACAATCCTGACATGGTTCCTTTAGCTTTGTGTTTGTTTACTTCTTTAGACAAAGAGAAGAAGAAAAAGGACATTTTTTAAAAGCTAGACAGGTTTCCCTCTGAACAGGGCCTAGTTCATACCCATGGTAGTTAGTCTAGCGGATCCAGCCAGAACACTCATTTAAGATGTTTGCTTTATGAACTAGCCGTTTATGAGTAACCACGTATTACAGACATTTTTAACAGAATTGCATTAATCCCCATTGAGGGTGGCTGTCTGGAGAAATACATATTTTTTACTTTGTAACTTGGGTGAAGTAATCCTTTAAATGCACTGCATGACTTTATGTTTGTTTTGTAAAAGACAAATATAGTCCACTCACTGTTTTTCCTTACTGGATAGCAGAAAGTCACAGAGTGTCCCGTTTAGGGGATTTTTCTCATGGTATTTGGTTCAGGTGATCTGACACAGGATGAACTCATACAGCAGTCTGAAACCTCAGAACACGGCCATGGTGCGTTCAAAGTGACCACAAACAGCAGACTAGTTCCTCCTGGAGGTTGTTCACATCCTGGTTAGTCATGTTTACTGGGGTTAGTGCTGTTAACGCCCTGGATGGATTAAGAGAGTTTATCATACCTATAATCCATAACATATATTAATATATTATACCAAATATCTTGAACGTACCATTCTACATAGAGTAACTGCCTATAGCAGTGTTTGAGAGTAGAGAGCTGTCCAATACTGACTGAAACACTTCATCAGGTATGTTTCACAATGATCTAATGTTGGATTCCATTATTTAAATAAATAACAATCAGTACGTTTATATTCATGTCATTATTTGTTCAATTTTGTTTTATAAAGTTAGGAAAGCGATGTTTAGTTCAGCCAGATGTTGCCTGACAGAACAATGATCCCTCCCACACAGTGAGGCGTACAGCGTTTTACCTAAACACCGGGCCGGTACCCGGTACCGGTGTTACACCCCGACTGGTTTCCCTTCCGTGTGTTGTGTTCACGTAACAGCAGCAGCTGAGCCACGTATGAATAAATACATTTGAGGAAATATATTTAAGGAAAGATCGCAACGACCTGGATTCGAAGTCTCTCGAGCAAAACGGTAACATATCATTAAACACTGGATCTTGATTAAATGTCAGCCATTGAGTCATTTATGCATCAAGTCACCTCGTCAGTGTCCAGGGAAGGTTTTGGTTTCGGGTGATCTGAAACAACTGGTTACCTGCGGCGTATCGTCGATAGTCAAACAAGTAGGTGTAACACCGGTACCGACACCCAAAGCCCAGGTACCGCTATCGGAACCGTGTCTGATGAGTTCATCCCTCTTTGAGAGTGAGGAACGCCCAATAGTGTTCAACTATGATGTAACGTTAGCTCACCGCGAAACTCCATTGAGGAAGTCATTAACACATGTATCAGCAGGTAGCTAGGTCAGCAAAAAGAGAAAGTAAATCATAGTGTTCAGAACCAACACGAGTCCATCAGTAACGTTAGTCTACATTATAACACACCTGTCTAATAGACATGAAGTTACATTTAACATTTAACCACGTCTCGTGCAGGTTATCAGGTGTAACGTTACCGTTCACACACACTGCTCTCTGCACAAGATGATTGTGGGAATATTGGTTCACAGGTGTGTTGATCATGTAACGCCAAACCGTAGCTGTCCTCTACTGGAAGCACCATTAGATTACAACGCGAAACACTGACTAGCTAACGCTAACTTACACATGGAATAAACCGTCTAAATATAAGTAAGTTAACTTACCTTACCGGTAAAGGAAACTCTCCGTCTATCTCTATATATATATGGAAATATAATTTTTCCAAAATAGACATACCTCTTTTGACAGACAGTGGTAGAAATAGACACGTAGCGGTATTATGAAGTCCCCGTTCTTACTATTACTAGAAGGAAATGTCAAGTTGTTCAAAGCGCAGGTCATGAAACTTTCATCCAATCAGGGACGCTGCTCACCGTGTGGGCGGGTCAAACCACAAAACACTCCAAGGGATACTGACCAACGGGAGCAGCTGATTGGCTAAGAAAACAGGCAGCGTTCCGACCAGTTCCTCAAGACGCGTTAAACGTATTTAGAGAAACTGAAACTACAGTATTTGATACACATTTAATGCAGCTATCAGAGAAAATTACAGAACTCATATACAAGGGAAACCAATTTGACTACACACATTCAAAATCACCCAGAAATAGAACTTCTTACATTATTTTGTGAAGAAAAAACACCATAAAGAAAAATGGTTTATTTTGCATTTATTTATACTTACAGTATTGTTTTTATTAATCTAGCAATGATCCAGGATGGGCAGGATTTAGGCTATATACATAATGACATCTGAACCACAACACATAATCCAAAATGTGAAGGCGTTTTCTGTACTAGGCTTTGAAACGGCCGTCTTTGAGTCTTTAACCGGTGTACATTCGGTGTGGGTATGGCATGGCGTACTATTTCCGAGTCTTGTTCTTCCTCAGCTGTTTCTTGAGACAGTAGTTGGTTACTCCCAGCTGATGCTCTGCTCCCTGAATATGCTTGGTCTCCAACAGCAGAGCAGGCAAGCTGGACGCCCCGTACTGGACGGGATGAGAGGAGGAAAGGAAGCAGTGCGTCACTATGGGACGTTCATTAGAACGCTATAAAGCGTCAAATCATGGTAACGGTAGTTTGTGTTGCTAAAGCTGTACCTAAGGCTAAGACACACAGATAACCAGACAATAATCAGGTTATGATTTCCATTATTTCTAAGGTCAATATTCACTTCCCTCTGGGAGAAGATACCGCAGCCTCCGTGCTCGCACCACCAGACTCTCAAACAGCTTCGTCCACCAGGCTGTTAGGAAGCTGAACTCTCTCCCTCCTCTCTTTTAAGACTCTATGTCCGACTGCTGCTGAATTATATGTTGTCTAAATGTTTGTTTATCTATTTTGCACTGTGTTCACTTTATATGTTTATATGTTGGACTGGGAGAAACGTTTTTTCAACTCTTCGGTATGTTCGGTACATATTGTGGAACTGACAATAAAGCTAACTTTGAACTTCATGTGACTTGAGAGTGTGTGTGCGTGTGTGTGTGTGTGTGTGTGTGTATACCATTTCCTTTTCTTTGGGGCGTTTGCGTCGGTAGTCCAGGTATTGTCTGTTGAGCTCTCCGATGTCATGCAGAAAGGCGCGGCCTCGTCTCAGATCGGCCAACCGGACTTCAAGTTCAGCTTTCTCCTTTTCAAGCAACCACGCCTGCCTCTCTGCCCTGACCGATCACACACAGCGTAAAGGTCATTGTGGTTTACAGGCTGGGGATCATAGGTTATTAATCATAGTTTTTATAGTGTCAATAGTGCATCTAATTGGCAATCCCTGTGGGTGTTTTGATGACTAAATATATTTTGAGTTTACAGACAGTAAATATCTTACAGTAAACTGAGTTTGTAGAAAAGTAAACTGGTGTGTGTTGTGTGTTGTGCATCTGGACCTCCTCTCACCTCATCAGCTCATGCTTGGCTTCCAGCAGTCTCTGTGTCTTCGTGCGGATCGAAGACGCCACCTGACACATGCGCACACAGACACCAACGGGACCGAAAGCAAAAGTAAGTATGGCCCGGTGTTATGTAACACGACTAAGAGTCTCTGTGAGGCTGTACGCTGGTGCTTTGAGCTAATACATGCTAACATGTTCACAGTGACAACGCCGACATGCTGATGTTTGGCAGACAGTGTCTAATGTTCACTTTGGTGTTGCTAGTATTTGTTCACTAAACAAAGCAAAGGAGAAATCATAGCTTTGAGCGGACGATGGCGCTGGAAGAAAAGTCAGAGCTTCACCAAACTCATGGGGGAGGGGGGGGGGGGATACATTGTCTGCACCAAATGTTATGGCACTCCTTCCAATAGTAGTGGAGACGTTTCACTCAAAACCACAACCTCCTGGTGGCACTAGAGGAAAAGTCAGGGCTCACTCAAAGAATTTACTTTTTATGGTGAATATGAATGTCTGTGCAAAATGCATCCAATAGTCGTTGAGACATTTCAGTGTGACCGATCAGAGTGCTGCAGCAATGAGTCCTAAAACACGGACACGAGTCAGCACTTTAGGCACACAAGGTTAACACAAGAACTGTGATATAAAATATGTTAATAAATAGCCCTCTTCTGAATTTTGAAGCTTTGTTGTGTCTTAAAAGAGGCGGTTGCTAACAAGTGGCTAAACGAGACCACAAAACGTTGTTTACTGTTGTTCAGTTTTCTTGAACGAAACATTTAAGTGAACGTGTGTTTGTCACAGAGATTATTTTTTGAATTGATCCAAAATGCAATGACACAAAGCCATTGGCTGTTAGCGGAGGGAACCAGTGAGATGCTAACCTGCGCGGTTAGCCTCCAAACACACAGAATCCCCGCGTCACTCTATTCCCATCCCTAAAGCCTCTAGCATGGCAGGTTGCCATAGTTACCTTGGCATTTTCTCTCTTTAGAATCTTGAACTCCTTTAAAGACGAGATCTGGAAGAGAAGGAAACACCAGAGAACAAACACCTGTCCGGTTTGAATAAGGATATGAATCAGCATTATTCACTTCTGTTTTGATGGACATGTTATCATGAGTAGGATCACATTTAAAAAAGGAAAAGGGAAAGTTTGGGAAAAGGTGGTTATAAGCACTAAACTATTTATTTGTATCCTAATTAAGTTGAGTTTTTCTCTCTTCTGGTGAACAAAAGTAAATCTGAATCTCTAAATGTCACAAACGTAAGTAAATAGAAGAGCTAAAGTCTGACCTTTTCCAACAGTTGCTCTTCCACATTGGAGGAGAAAGAATCAACAGCCTGTTTGACTGCTTTAGACTCCACAGACTCTCTGAAACACACACACACACACACACACACACACACACACATAATCCTCTCCAACTGTAGTATTTGCATAGACAAATGTAACTGGTGAATAGAAGTAGTTGTTATGGTGTGGGTTAGAGCTCAGGCTACTTGTGTGGATGTCCTCGTTCACCTGTACTGGTCACAGAAGTCCAGGAAGGCCTCCAGCACCACCTCTGTCTCTGTCCCTCCCGCACCACGTCTTTTCCTCCTCTGCTGGTCTCTGGTGGCCTTCTCTGGTCCTGCAGATGCACTGCCTTCACGTGGAACAAGTTTTGTGGTTCAAAGTTCAAGAAGAATAGTAAAAAAACATGTTTCTTTTTGCAATAGAATAAATGAAAACGATTCAGCTGAACTTGGGATATGAAACATTGGGTCTATTTCTTGTAGTGTTTTGTGTAACAATGAAACAGTGAAGACAAAACACCCTCAAACGTCCAGTTCATGCAAAGAAGGCTGTAAATATGATGATTTTAATGTTTGTAGTGTATCTGAGACTTTTGAAAAGCGCTATATCAATAAAATGTCTTATTATTATTATTTAAATACACCCACAAACAATCAGGAAGTCAGGACATAACCTTTAAAGAAATGCTTACTTGCTGAGAGTTCGATGAGAAGATTGATACTATTCAAATATCTGTCAGCTTAGCTTAGCTTAGCATTACGACTGGAAACGGGGCAAACAGCTAGCCTGGCTCAGCCCAACGGTCTTTATACTAAGCTACGCTAACCGTCTCGAGCTTCATATTTAAATGTGCAGAGTTGAGAGTGTGGTGGACATGTTGTTATCTAACTCTCAGAGAGGAACTCTAGGAGCATAGTTCCTTCACACAGAGTTCAAACACATGTTGACGGGACTCTGTAGCTCTCTCCCCTCACCTGAAGAAGAAGTTCTAGATTTGGACTTATCAGACTTCCTGTCTCTGCCCAAACTTAAAACCTTGGCCTTCTTTGGACTTGGGATCTGAGTAAACAACATAAAGACAGAGTTCAAATGAACGCCACATTCCTGTGGATGCTAGGCTCTGCTGCTGGTAGTCCTCACCCAACTCCCATCATCATCCCCCCGCTCCTCCTCCTCAGAGGACAGCACTCTCTTATAGGCAGGGTCAGCTTTCTCCTGGAAGAAAAACAAACACATGTTCTTCACTAGTCATACAAGAAGTCGCTATCATGTTATTAGCATAACTGTGGTGTACTATAGACGCTACCCTTGTTGTTGGAGACACTTCATCCTTCACTTGCTTACCTGTGGCGCAGCGTCACTGGACTTTCCACTTCCTGTTTCACTCTCCCTCTTCTTGCCTTTCTTGGTCTGCTGATTTTCCACCGGCCTTGTTGGGACACAGAGACAAGATTAATGATTTGATGGGAACACAGAATATTAGCTCTCAGAATAGAAACGTGCACGGCCGTTATCAGCCACACCACCGTTTCTGCAAGCTGCCCCCTCAACGGACCCTTTACTCTAATCCCTGATCCACGTCCCGGACCCTTTGGACCCGGACCAGACTCATTGTTCTGGATGCTTTTCATGACAATTCTTTTGTATTTCTTTTTTTTGTACTTGTGATTGTCTTTCTAAATCGTCTTTCTCTTTACCTTTCTTCTGTTTTTACTATAAGATTTTTTGTGAAGTTTTCCTGTATATGGGTTTCTTTTTCCCTTTGCTTCGAGGGCAAGTTATGGATGTATGAGTGTATGAATGTATATTAGTTGACATGTTGGTATGTGTATATAGATCTCTATTCATTATCACAGCTATGTATTTTTCTTATTCAAGCCGATAGGATACTTATCTCGATACATGGTCTGTGAAACGTAGTTCCCACCTCGTCACTTTGATATTTAATGATAATAACCTTTAATTTGCCTTACATCTGTAATGATGATGTCATGTAAATACTCAGTAAGAAACTGTACTTATTTTTCAAATTAGTATTTGTGTAATAAATACCATTTTGTTCAAGAACATATCATACATTCTTTAAAAGAATGTCTTTATAGACCGATATCATCATCATGGTCTCTGTGGATGGTTTATCATCATCATGGCAGACTGGAAAGTCTGCCATGATGAGGTGAGGTGTGACCTCACCTCGTCCCTCCAGTACTTCTCCTGCTCCTCTTTCTCTTCTCCTCTTCCTCCTCATTCTCTCCATCCCTCTCCGTCTCCTTCCTCTTCACGGCAGCTCCGCGCTGTTTTACAGCGGTCTTCGCCGTCTGAGGAACTTCCTTCCTCCCGGCTTTGCCTCCGCTCCTCTGATCCTCCTCTGGGACGTTCAGATCTTCCTCCACGGCCGTGCTGTGCAGAGGGTTACCTTGTAAGTGAGACAGACAGTTATCTGGTCAGCACAATGTTGGTGGTTTGACATCATGCTAGACTCTGGAAACAAGGCCACCGCGAATAAACTAAGAAAGAAAGGAAGAAACAAGCATGAATGTTACTGTAAAATCTGGTTTTCTTCAAGACTCATGGAGACATAATGACTCTGACATGGATCATGATATCACCTACAGTGTAATAAACTGACCATAATTCGGCTGCAGTCCCTCGAGGAAGCTAGCTTTGTCTATAGAGGACAGGTTGGGAGAATCCGTCTGATCATTAGATGAACCTTTCTGAATTCAAACACAACAGAGAAAACAATTCAAGTTCCACAATTTACAGTCAATCACACTTTCTTTATACAACAAGGTGTAATAACACAATGACAGGCATAATGTTGCATTTCACTGAGAGAAGAAAAACTCAGCTGACAAGGGAATGACCCATTTCTATGCCTTTAGTGCTGTTATCACAAATCATAGTGCACTTCAATTTGAATGGTGCAAATGCTACAGTGACCACCTCACCTGACTCTGCTGTTGTGGCACCGTGAGCACTTTGGCTCTTCTGCCCTTTTTGGCACTGTGGAAACAAAGACAGGGGCATTTCTTCATCATCCTCCTCCTCCTCCTCCTCATCAACCAGGTGACACCTCCAAACAAATGACTCTGGTCCCTAGTTAGCATTCAACTTAACGCTAGCTTCTCCACCATTCGGTATGCTTATACACTATATAACACAACTTAAAACAAAGGCCAAAGGTATGCTAGTTTAACCACTTTGCTCACACACATCTTCCAGATTACAGTAACGTTATTGTTCACGTTACTGAGTGTCGGTTGCGAACAGCACGATGCTATTCAACAAGTTGTGCTTTAGCTGCGTTACGTTATAAGGTCAACAAGCAGGCCAACGTCGTATCTTTACTTAACGGTATGTTGTCAGACTTTTAAATGAAATGTGACTTTACCAGCATAATAAAGAGTGGTGTGTGTTATAGATATGGGTTCATATATGGGTTAGATTATAACTTCAAATGTATATTTCTCACCTCATTTGGAACAAGTAGCAAACACGTTTGTTTTGAAAACTCCGTAGCTCGAATTGGATAGAAGCAGCTTCCCGCAAAATGATTCAAGTTCTGGACTGTACCATTCCAGAAATACAGGGGTGGGATTTGGTACAATTTATAATGAAGAAAACGCGACCTCCCAAAATGAGTTTATGTAGATGAATCAAAACGTTTACGGTGATATAGTCTGGATGTAGTTTACCTTTATTAAATATTTGCACTTGCATTTTGTAAAAATATAGTAAAATCAGCTTCCCCGAGCAGATCCTACGGAGAGCGAAAGGGTTCAGTATCTGCTCTGAGGATCCTTTTTTTAAGCGAACTAAGTGAAAGAGAAAAACAGCAGTAAAATGAATATATTAATAACAATACCTACAATACAACTACAACAACAGTAGTTTCAGGACCTAGGAATAAATGTTTTTAATTTTTGTTAATTTAGTGTTGTGCATATAAACAATACAATCCATACTAAGTAAAAAATGTCCTGGTCTCATGGATACCATGTATATACAAATCCCTGGAGTAAATATGAGACTCACGAAAACAAACATTTAAATAGTTTTACCTAATGACACAACCCTGATGAAGCAAAGGACAGATCACACAGCTCTCTTGAAGATTTTTTAATTCAAATCTTTACAAAACAAATCTGACATGACAGAACAAACAGTTATAGTAAGATCAAAAGTACTTCCAACAAATTAAAACTTGAAACATTCAAAAGGATTTCATTTAGATTGTGAACAGTGTCATTTTGAAATGTATAGTTTCACCCTTCTTCAGCAAATAATAATAATTTAAGAAAACTGATCCCTTTAGCAAATCTCTTCCCTTCATGTTACCATAAATAAATTAAAAACACACAGTTTCCCTTTGTCCTGAATGTTCTTTAGTACCTGAATTCTCTGTTTCCACCTGGCCTTGTTCAGATTATCTTTAATATGGCTCACTCTGCTGGTTAACAGTGTGCTAATTGGACCCAGAAACAGTCCCGTTATCCATTGTGGATTTAAACTTTCTACCGAACAAACTCCAGAAACACAACAAGATAAAAAACCATGACATCTGAGAAAGACACTGACATGTTGAGGTTGCAGTGTGTGGAGCTGTTTGGGAACCCGTTTCAGTGGTCAGTCATCTGCTATGCTTGAAATGAAAAGGCGTGTGTGTGTGTGTGTGTGCGTGTAGGAGGTACTGTGTGTGGTTCCTACCAGTAAAGTCCTGAGATGCTACAGAGCTGCACTTTGATATTTCCCTTTTAAAAACATCCTGAATGAAAATATCTCAAAATAGCTGATTAGAATCAACACGTTATCACAGAATTTTGTTCTGTACATAGCAAAGGCAGAACTATTTCATCAATAGACACGTGTATTTTAAGCTACTCTGGACCTTCAGAGGTCTTGTATTCTGTGCCACAGATCCTAAAGGACACTGGTTTTGTACTACGTGTTCTGAATCAAGTTCCACTAAAAGCTACAGCGCCTCCTGTTGCTGTTGTTTCTAGTGTTACTGGCCGCGAGGACTCAACGTGGTCCCTTTGGTCCCCTCTGTGAGCTTCAGCTTGTGCTCCCGTCTTCCTCTCCCCTACAAACACTTTTGGTAGCCCGTGTGTCTCTGTTCCTCCTTCATGGCCTCCTCCTACATTTTGATCCCAGCGTACAGCTCGTCCATCTGGGCTCTGAAGTACTGTCGCATTTCGTTCCTCTTGGCCTTTAGCGTGGGAGTGAGCAGGCCGTTCTCGATTGAGAACAGCTCGGTGTGGATGTAGATGGACCTCACCTAAAAGAAAACATGCACATGTTGGCAGGATGAAGGTGTTTCACTTCCAGGGACACCGTTTGGATGAACACTGCAGAGTCTACAGAGCTACCAAGTGGTGCACAGGAAAAGATGTCTCAAGTGTTTTACCTGCTCAAAGGACTTGAGGCCTCCTTCCTTGCCCAATCGCACCATGTCCTCAAAGATGGCCGCCTTGACTTCCTGAAGACAATAAAGGGAGGTACCTCAGAATAATGATGTCACTTCAATTAACACTCGCTGCATGGGCTACGCTTTTCTGACAGTCTTAATTCATTTCACAATACATTTAAGTTTCACTTTGTAGTAGTTATTGGATTGCATTTGACTGTACATGTACATGTTAAGTACCTGGTATTGTGTAAATCCCAACCTGATGTAGTCCACAGCCTTACCAGATGAACTCAAGTACCCCTCTATCAGCACCACCAATCAGGTTCTTTTCCATTTATTTAAAATAGATGTTACTGAACTCTATTAGAAGTGCACATTGTTACAATAATTCAACACATAGTGATCCTTGAATTGGTCTTTTGTTTTCTGTTTTTTCAGAAGGTTTGCTCAAGTTTGCATTCATTAACGCAACTGCTCGCAGTGATCAAAGCTGGATGTTTCCACCATTTTTCACTTACTTTTACGAATCCATTTCGGACTTCTCTGCTTACTGTTGAGGACTCTCCTCGACTAAGAACTTCTCCTCAACACCAACAGCAGAACTTCTGCAGTTGGTGTTGAGGTGTTACAACTGCTTGGTGGGAGCCCAGTCTTGTGCTGGTAGCTGATTACTTATTGTGTCAATAAACATACTAGGATCAGCCTCACACCACTTTATAGCCTTTTTAGTGGATCTATTTTCCCCTGTAAGACAAATAGATGAACTAGAAGGAAATACAGTTGTTTACTAGATCCTAGTTTCCTTATTTGTGTGATCTATGATCAAACTGTGTAAAGTATTACCGCTCTGTCACATAGATCCTGGTAGCTGCCGTCCAGTGCCAGAGTCCTCTTGGTCCAGCTAGACAGGAAGTTGGGGTCAGGTACCACCACTGCTACCAGACACGCCTGGAGATAAACACGATACTTACAAGGTAAATACAGCAAATACAGCAATGGCAGTTACACAGGAATGAATAGCACACACATCCGTGACACACACACAGAGTGAGAATGTCCTCCGCCTACCTGCAGACTGTCTCCATGCACAAAGACCTGCGCCACTGCATCGCACCTGATGTACACGTTCTCTATCTTTTCAGGGGCGATGTACTCCCCCTGTGCCAGCTTGAAGATGTGCTTCTTCCTGTCCACGATCCGCAGCGTGCCGTTCTGTCCACGTACATTCACACACATTACATTACATCATCAAACGTCCACAGGCCGTCAGACACGTGATGAACTTCGGTCAGAATAAATATGTGTGAAGCTGAGATGAATGATTTAAACACAGAGTGGCACTACTTAACCTACAGGAAGCCATTTTCCAATGTCCCCCGTGTGAAGCCATCCGTCTGCATCGATGGCCTCCGCAGTCTTCTCGGGGTCCTTCAGGTAGCCCTGGAACACGTTAGGGCCCTTCACACACACCTAGAAACCAACACACACACACACACGTATCAGTGACGTGATATTGTGGTAGAAGACAGAGTTTCTGTGAAGACGTGTGCTTGTCTTTGTGTCTCACCTCTCCCTCCCCGTTCACAGCCAGGTAGTTCATCTCGGACACGTCCACCAGTTTCAGTGAGTTACAGGGCAGAGGAGCTCCAACGTGACCTGCGGGCATGAGGTCAAGTTCAGAGTGATGAACTTGTTCTTTGTAGTTCAGAGCGCTGAGAGCAGTAACATGAATGAAGTCGTTCTTATTTATTACCTGCTTTCCATTCTCCGGGCATGGTCATGGTGCATCCAGCAGTGCACTCTGTTTGTCCATAACCTTCATAGAACTGAGACAAAGAAAGAACACATGATTATTATTGTTATCATGACTACTAACCCTACTACAAGCACAGGACTATGCAATGTAGAACCTATTGGGGACAGACAAGGAGCGTGGATCAGAATGTCGAGATCAGACGGCTGCATTTCTACTTTTCTAGATTTTCAGGACAGGTGATAGAAAGAGACATAGATAACATGTGAAACAAGGGCCTGTGTGTGTGTGTGTGTGTGTGTTACCTGGCAGCCTACTGCAGCTCTGAGGAAGGTGAGCACAGTAGGGGAGATGGGAGCAGCTCCCGTCAGCATGAGACGCACGCGACCTCCGAGGCTGGCCTGTAGAGGGCAGCACGCTGCGTTAGTGCTCGACAGCTCTATCAGTCACATCCACAACACATTCATGTCAATCTGAAGATGCCACATAGTGTTTATGCCTTTACAGCTGTCTGAGGCTGATGACAATGTGGTACACATTTTACTGTTGGGTAAACTCTTAGGAGATGAATCAATGCCTTATATGATAAGCTAAGATTATCTCAGTTTATCATATAAGGCATTGATTCATCTCCTGCAATGTTGCAGCAGAAAACAAGTTGTGCAATATCAAGAAGCATTAGTAAAGTAAAGCAAGATATAATAAACAAGTGAAACTGTAAAATCTAAATGTAATCAGTACTCCTACATATGACTTAAACCTGTGTCTGCGTTGACTTCATGAAACCTACACGTGTCTTCAAACACCAGGAAACAAAGTGTCTGAATTTAGACTAAACTGTAAACTAATGTGCTCATATTAAAGGGAAACATTTGCCACTTTTTACGTGGATGTACAATCAGTGATGATGGAAAATGTAGTTCATTGCAGCAAAAGAAATGTATTGATGCGCACTACATTGACAGAGAAAGTTCTCCTGCTGCCAGCAGGGCCTACATGTACCATGATGTACCAGGGGGGATGGATATATATATATACATATATACGTATATATACATATACACGTATATATATATATATATACATATATATACATATACACGTATATATATATATATATATA